GCCCTGGAGACTGCCCACCTCAGCCTGCACACAGCTGATGTCCCTCCCCCTCCAAGAGGCCTGTGCCTCAGTCACCCTCCCTCCTTCTCCCCTTGGGTGAGAAGTGGTACATGGTGGTGGTTAAATAAGAACAGTCCAGGTTCAAGTCCCAGCGCGGTCACTGGTGGGCAGGTGCCTTCGCTTCCTCGCCTAAGATCTGAGCTTCACACACCCCGCCCACCGCGCCCCCAGACTGTTCTCACAGCCCCCTTTTCTCCCCGTCTCGGGGGAAGGGGATCAGATGGAGGCACAGTCCGTGGGCCCCGCCGAAGCGCTCAGCCCGGAGCACGGGGTCCCTGCGACAGGCCCAGGCCGGCTCTGAATGGGGGTTGGCACGGTCTTTGAGCCTGGCCAGGGCTGGGGCAGGGGGCTGGAGCAGGGGTTGGGGATGCTGGCCTCGGGTCGGACCACCCTGACTCCTCTAGTTACCGGGTTTACTCAGTCCTCCTGCCCCTCAGCTTCTCTGGGGGGAGCAGGGGCCAGGGGGCTGCAATGGGCCAACGTGAGCTTAGACCCGAGACAGGAGCAGACCAGAACCACCTACAACCAGGCCACCCCCGCCTGCTCTCGGGGACCTGGGAGCGGGGATGAGGGCGGAAAGCAGTCAGAGCGGTCGGATCCCCGCGGAGGTCTCCCGCAAGGCTGGGGGGCCCGGGGGTGGTGGTGGTGGGGGTTCGGGGGCCCGGGGGGTGTGGTGGTGGGGGTTGGGGGGGGGGGGCTTGCAAATCCTGCGGCTCCCAGCACAGATCTCCTTGGAGAGGGAAGTTTATAACCCACGTGCGGGCTGCGCGCGCCCATCCCGCATTCCTGGAGTCCCCAACCCATTCCTCAGCCGCTTCCGGTCTTCTTTTGGGGGGTGGGGGCGTGCAGAGCGGGTCTCAGCACGTGGGCACAAGGCCTGGCCCCACGCAAAGCCGCGGCCTCGCCGGGCACGGGCAGGGAGGCGCCGTGAGGCCCGGAACCGCCGAGGCGGGAAGGCCGCGTGCGGAGGGCGGGGGCGGGGGCCGAGGCCGCACGGGCCCGCGCACTCACCTCCGCGCGATCCGGTAGAGCAGCACGCCGGCCGCGGCGCACGCCGTGACCCCCAGGCCGCCGGCCAGGCCTGCCGTGGGGCAGCGGGCCAGCAGCGCGCTCACTCCCTCCATGACTCCCCGCGGCCGGCGGCGGGCAGAGGCGGCGACGCCGAGGGCCGCGAGCGGATTACCGGGCGGCGGCGCGCACCTCCTCGCGCCGTGACCTCCGTCGCTTTGTAGCGGGTGCGGGCCCGCCCCCTGACTCGGCGCGCTCCCGCCGCGCAGCCAATCGGGGAGTGGGACGAGCCCGATGGGCGGGGCGCCGGGGGAAGCGGCGGCGGCCCGACAGTGCCCCCTGGCGGCCGGAGGTGGGAGGCGGCGCGGAGCCTTGCCCGGTGCGCTCGTCAGGCCCCTCCCGCACGTCGGGCTACTGACCACTGGGAAGGCTTTGCTCCCGCTGGTCCGGCCTCCCAACGCCTGGGCCAAGCCGGCCGCAGCGCGCAATGCTGTTTGCTGCAAGTTGCAGTTCTTTAAGCCACTTCCACTGAAGCCACTCCAACGGTCCAAATAATTTATAGAAACATGATTATGTTTATAGAAAGATAGTAGGAAGTAGAAGATGGGTAAACGAACTGCAGTTGCCTCCAGGTGGAATTAGTGGGTAAGATGCATATTTTTTAGCATTATGGATTTTCATTAAATCACTCATAACTAAAAAGAAACAAGTAGGAAATATTAGTACTTAATTACGTTTCACTGTCCCCACAACTTTTCCAGTGTTTGGGGGGTCATTACAGTTTAGTTGTGGACAGTGGTGGGTTGAGGGTTTCCTGCGGCCAGTTCATCTGTCCCACACCCTAGTTCTGTGCATTAAAGAGCTGCCTGTGGGGAGGGGAGGGAGCCCATAGGAAACCTGGGGCTGATTAGAGTCTGCAACGGGAGCTCCTCATTCTTGGGAGTGGGTGTCAGAGCAGGGCCTCAGGTTGCAGTCTCGCTGCCTTCACCAGCCTGGAGCGCAGAGGAAGGAACGAACAGCATGAAGCTGCCCTCTCCGTGTGCAGCACTCTCTTCCCAAGGAGGAGCCAGCGTCTGCAGAGGATCCCACTCACAGGAAGGGCTCCATCCTGGGCACTATGGTGCCAGTGCAGCTCTTCCGGGATAACGCCTGTGGACACGTGAACTGGACGGAATGCTTTGCTGGAACTTGGCTTCAGTCAGGTCATTCCACAGGCTCAGATGCCCCCGCTGCTTTGCATTCATCTACTGGACTAGCAGTCAGACCTACTACTTGTCAGCTTATTACTCACCACCTCCGAGACTTCAAGCAAGTCGTGTGAACCTCTGAGCCTTATTTTAAAATGTGGACGGTAATACCTGCCTCACAAGGTTGTCAGAACAAATTTAAATGAGAAAATACACAACATTTTGCAGTGCTTGGCACACACTGGGTCAGCAATAAGGGTTGTCTTTTATAAACATACTAGAGGCCCAATGCATGAAATTCGTGCAAGAGTAGGCCCTGCAGCCCCGGCTTTGTCCATAAGGTCATTCTGCTTTGCAGCCGTTCGGTTGATTTGCATATTATGCTTTTATTATTATAGATTGCTTAAACATAATAAAATTCCAATGACTAAGCTTGTAGAGGAGAAATCAATCAAGGGATTTTTCCATTAACAGTTCAGTGACATTTTCCGTTTAAAAATCCAGCCCTGGCCCAGCTGATGTGGCTGTGGTTGAGTGTTGACCTATGAACCAGGAGGTCACAGTTAGATTCCTGGTCAGAGCACATGCCTGGGTTGCAGGCTCAATCCCCCATGGGGGGCGTGCAGGAGGCAGCTGGTCAATGATCCTCTCTCATCACTGATTTTTCTATCTTTCTCTCCCTTCTTCTCTGAAATCAATAAAAATTACTTAAAAAAATCCAGCTTTGACCAGCCTGGCTCAGTGGTTGGTGTGTTGGCCTGCATACCATAGGGTCAAGGGTTTGATTCCCCCATCAGGGGCAGTCAGGGGCAAGTACCTGGGTTGCAGGTTAATCCTTCCCTTTGGGGTATGTGCAGGAGCCAACCAATCGATGTCTCTCTCACATGGATGTTTTCCTTTCTCTCTATCCCCTCCTCTCCCTTCCAATCTCTCTGAAAGATCAATGGAGAAAACATTTCTTACTCCTTGGGTGAGGATAGAAAGATAAATTGCCCAGCCGCCATGGCTCAGTGGTTGAGTGTCCACCTATGAACCTGGAGGTCATGATTCGATTTCCGGTCAGGACACATGCCTGCTTTGCGGGCTCCATCCCCAGAGTGGGGCGTGCAGGAGGCAGGTGATCAATGATTCTCTCTCACCATTGATGTTTCTCTCTCTCCCTCTCTTCTGAAATCAATAAAATATATTTTAAAAAAGCAAATGAAATAAAAATCCAAAAAGCCCCTTTATAGAGGAAGCATCCCTTTTTTCTGCCCATTCTCATCCTACCTTTGGGACGGAGTTTCTTGCATTTCAGCGCCCGGGGCAGAAGCAAGCAGAGAACCAACTTGTACTAGGTCAACATCAAATTTAATAATTCAAGAATGTCAGTGAAAATTATTTTGAAATAATTCTCTTACCTAATTTAGTGAATATTAAGCAATCTAATTTTCTTTAATGTATATTTTATTGATTTTTCAGAGAGGAAGGGAGAGGGACAGAGAGCTAGAAACATCAATGGGAGGGAAACATCGATCAGCTGCTCCCTGCACACTCCCCACCGGGGATGTGCCCGAAACCAAGGCACATGCCCTCGACCGGAATCGAACCCGGAACCCTGCAGTCCACAGGCTGACGCTCCATCCACCGAGCCAAACCAGCTGTGGCTAAGCAATCTAATTTTTAATGTTCACATTAGATAAAATCTTGAGGAAAAGTTCAGGTTTTAATATGAATATTCAAAGGCGTTGATAAATGCCACTATTACACAGTCGTTAAAATGAGGTTCTGGAATAGAAATCTCTTTACTGCCATGTGTTTTGGAAGCATGAAACATGCGTAGTTGTTGACAGTTGAATTATACTAGGGAGCTCAACACCACCGACAAACTTCATGACTCAAGGGAAACAAACTCAACTCAACTCAATACAATTAGAAACCATCCGCCTCTCATCCCTATCAGAGCGTCTGCCCCTGAATCGGAAGCTCCGTGCATCGGTTATTAGAGTCTTATCTTTCTAGTCATTCAGGCTGAAAACGAACCCAATGCTCAGCAAAGCCCGGTGAGAGAGCTAACGGGAGACAATGTCCCTTATTAAACTTCCTTATAAGATGGGAGGATGGGCTTATAATTCTGGTAATTTCTCATGTCTAGATTTAAAAAATATTTTTTTGAACTAGGGTATTTAAGCACCACCACCACCACCACCACCATTTCCGGGCACAATAAAAGTGAGCTAGCTCTTTAAGGAGCCGGCAATCAACCTTGGTCGCAGGAGCGGGGACCGAGAACAGGGCTCACCCATCACTGCCCACATTCCCGCCCATGGCCGGCCGCGCTCTGACACACCTGCAAGTACCTGGGCTTGACTGGGCTTGACTTCTGGAAACACATCCAGGAGCGAGGCCACCGGTAAACCGTTCTTTGAAACTCTCACATTTGGTGCAAACTGGGGATAGGGGATGGCTTCAGGAAAATGTATATAGTTTAAAATATTTAATGTCAGAAAGTTGTTTTTTAAAACGCAGCAGCCCGAAAACTTAGGAGTATCAATCTGTATGAGACTTGGAAATGTACAAAGAGAAAACAGCTGGGCCATCTGCTCTGGTCAGCCCGTGTCACCGACACGTGTCACCCCTACCTGCCGCGAGATTGGACATTCAGGTTAGAAAACACGTGCACTCTGACTTTAGCGGTGTCTGTGTTTCCAGCGTTACCATCCTATGTTTACAGCACCGTGAAGTGAAAGAGCACAAAAACCAAAGTTATACTTAAATTAAATAGCATGATTTAATTTACTTGCTGCTTAATCCTGAATCCTCTTAAATTAAAAAAAAACAACAAAAGTTAAAATTAACTATTAACGTTAATGAATTTAAACCTTCCAGAAAACATGAATCCAAAAGGAAATGTCCAACAGGTAACTGAGCCACATATTTTATGGCCTTTCCTGTATCGGCCTCGAACATTCTAAACATCAACGGGAAAAAAAATTCTGTATCGAGTTTTTCAGTTTTATTCTTCCGGAGCACAGTTTTCGGGCCTGTTACTGAGGACGGTCTTCCAACAGGTACACGATTAGCTCATAGGTGGACAGCACAATGGCTGTGTTTGGGATCTGCCGGATGAGCTGGGCAAAGAGTCCTCTATAGAAGGCAAGGTAGCCTTCTTCCCGGAAGACCAGCCGAGCGGTCTGGACAAAAGACTTGTACTTGGTGCCCTCCTCCCGCAGCCGTGTCCTGATCACTTCTGCAGAGAGAAACACACGCTTTATGTGACAGATAAATTGCATTTCCCGGTAATAGGAGGAGAATTCAAAGCACACAGCTTTATAATTATCAACGTATACCTCTGCCCACGTGCCACCTAAAATAATAAATTATGTTAAGATCTCAAGAGATGCCCTGGCCGGGTAGCTCAGTTGGTTAGAGTGTCATCATGATATGCCAAGGTTGCGTGTTTGATCCCGGTCTGGGCACATATAGGAAGCAACCAATGAATGCATAAGTAGGTGGATCAACAAACTGATGTTTCTTTCTCTCTCTCACCTCCCTTCCCCCTACTCTCTTAAAAAAAAAAAAAAAGCTTAGTTTGAGTGGGACTTGATTTTAAGATAGTTTATAGTTTTCAACTCCAATGAAGTAAATGCTGTAATTTCACCGAAAGTGAAAGTATGGAAAGTATTAAGTGTGGAAATATCGTCCACAGGACTTTCTTTTCATGTACTCCCCAACTTTCTCCTCCTCGAGTCCTCTGCTCCGTCCGGCTTAAACGCTGCCTCCTCCTTTTCCAAACCTTGGCCCACCTGGCCCTGCCTCACCTGGGTGCCCACACATGACACTGCCTGTCACCGCCTGCCAAGCAGACCTCTGCCACCCTGTCTCCCTATCCGGCAGCCGTCCGCCTCTTCTTCACGAGCCCCGAGGCCGCCAGTGCCCGGCACACACCGGGACTCCGCCACCTGTTACCGAGTTCACCACGTGCACCTGCCACAGCTGACAGCACAGCAGGCTTCTGAAAGCAAGGCTTGTTTTTCATGGCACAAAAAACAAAGCTATTATTTTAATAGTAGCTCAGAAGGACAGTAGGCCTATCATTCTTTTTAAAAATAAACTTAAAAGCCCTAGCTGGTTTGGTTCAGTGGATACAGCATTGGCCTGCGGACTGAAGGGTCCCCGGTTCAATTCCGGCCAAGGGCACATGCCTGGATTGCAGGCTCAGTCCCCAGTCGAAGGCAGCCACTCAATGATTCTCTCTCATCATTGATGTTTCTATCTCTCCCTCTCTCTCCATTCCTCTCTGAAATCAATAAAATATATTTTAAATAAATAAACTGAAAAATAAACTTTAAGTGGAAAATAAAATTCAAAGTGGAAGCTGAGAGATTTTAAGTTTGGTTCCTTTGTCATTTTTTTTTTTTTTTTTTTTTAAGTCAAGGATAAAATCCAGATTTTTGGCTTCTTGAAAACATCAGAAGTTCTACAACACAGGCCCACGTTCTGCACAGCAAGTTTTGGGAACTGGGGTTGAGTGACACTGAGTCCCTGCCACACACACACACGCCGAGGGGCGTGGGGGAGGCCAGGCCCACTTGGCTCGGGTCCCTCACTACTTGCAGGCATGTGCACTTCAGTCGGCTCCAGGGTCCAGGCACACTGACAAATGGCACAACCTGACGGCTGTCACTGCTCTGGGAGAAGGGTGGCACGTACCGTGAGGATAGGCGACACAAGAGGCACATCCCTTAGACACAGCAGCAGCTGCCATGAGTCCAAAAAAACTTGCGGAATTCTTCTCAGTCCCATTTGCAGAGGGGGTGAGTGGAGAGTCCTTCAGATACTTCTTCAGACTTTCATAAATAGCAAAGCAGATGACAGTTTCTGAGATCCCCGCATACGAGGCAGTTAATCCCCGATAGAAGCCACGAATGCCTTCCGTCTGGTACACGTGGCGCGCGCACTGGAGCGTGTTCATCTGCTTGCAGCCGCGCACCCTGTGACAGAGACCAAGAACAGGCCATCAGACCATGAGTGAGCGGGCTCCACAGACACTCGCCGGATGGAAGGCAATCAGTGGGCGACACGTGTCCTCCCCGCACGGAGGGCAGCTGTGCCCGGCTCACGGCGACGCCAGGTCCACAGGCTGGGCCACCCGGCCGGCCCACAGAGAATGTGCGCCCATATAGGAGTCACAAGAACATGCTCACAGCCTCTGGCCCGAGTTTGGAAAGAGCTTCGTGGAGGAAGACATTCCTCACAGAGAAAATCTAACCAACATGATCCAGTCCGTCCAAACACCGAAAGAGGCACCGGGCCAGAGAGGAACTGCCGTGCAGGCGGGAGGCGGGCAGTGCCGGGGGGAGGCGGGCAGTGCCGGGGGCAGGCGGGCAGTGCCGGGGGGGGGGCACGGGCAGTGCCGGGGGGAGGCGGGCAGTGCCGGCGGGAGGCGGGCAGTGCCGGGGGGGGGGCACGGGCAGTGCCGGGGGGAGGCGGGCAGTGCCGGGGGGAGGCGGGCAGTGCAGGCGGGAGGCGGGCAGTGCTGGGGGGGGAGGCGGGCAGTGCCGGCGGGAGGCGGGCAGTGCAGGCGGGAGGCGGGCAGTGCTGGGGGGGGAGGCGGGCAGTGCTGGGGGGGGAGGCGGGCAGTGCCGGGGGGAGGCGGGCAGTGCCGGGGGGGGGAGGCGGGCAGTGCTGGGGGGGGAGGCGGGCAGTGCCGGGGGGAGGCGGGCAGTGCCGGGGGGGGGCACGGGCAGTGCCGGGGGGAGGCGGGCAGTGCCGGGGGGAGGCGGGCAGTGCCGGGGGGAGGCGGGCAGTGCCGGCGGGAGGCGGGCAGTGCCGGGGGGGGGGGGGGCACGGGCAGTGCCGGAGGGGGGGGGGGGAGGCGGGCAGTGCCGGCGGGAGGCGGGCAGTGCCGGGGGGAGGCGGGCAGTGCCGGGGGGAGGCGGACTCGCTGGGATGTGAGGCACAGTTACAGATACGGTGCAGATGTGTTTTAAGACGACACTAAAGGAAAACCCGTCAGCCTTCGGCAGGATGGAGAGTGTGAGGGCGCTCTCAACCCTGAGGTAATCGAGATTCATCAAAGGATTCTAAGCAAATGATATGTTCAAAATTATTAGAACTGCTGCATCTCAGAAGGTTCTTTCAGGCAGGATGGGACGGGGAAAGGTGGAGTCAAAGGCCAATATCGAGGCCACTGTGGTCACTGGAGAGGAAGAACAGCCACAGCAGCCCCCCTGCCCTTGCAGGGGTTCCTGCTCTCTCCCCTGTCCTTTCTAGGAGCTTAAGTTGGACTGGATGAGCTGGAAGTTTCCAGTGCCCCACACAGTTACACAGGGCTCTTAGATCGAATCCTATCACAAACTTCACTTAGCATCACTACTCCTCTGAAATCACGGTAGTTATTGGGCCACGGCTTGACTTAATATATTAAGTAATCTTAATATATATCGTAATTTTAAAAAACATTAATAACTGCATTTCAGCAACTGGTTTCCATGGCTTCTACTATTCTAAAGGGTCTGCAGACTTCGCCGGACCACCAAAGGAATCTACAGGCTGCAACGGGTTTCAGGCAGAAACCAGAGTCCGAGGGCCTTGGAGAGAAAATGGCCCTTCCCAGGCCTGGAGGCATTCGCTGCTCTCCCTCATTGTAAGGCGCCTTCCCGCCTGAAAGAGAAGCATCTGGGGAGAGTCCCTAGCGCTGCAACTGGGGTGGGGCCCGCCAAGCGCAGGGACCCCCGATGGTCTGCGGAGGTCAGCACTGCACACCAGGGGCCACAGCTGAGCGAACTTGTGACCACCTCTGCTAGTCTTTGTCCCCACAATGCTTGACAGCACGACTCTCCAAGCAAAAGGAGCTGCTGTATGCTCACATTCAGAAAGAACAAGACTGTGTACTGCACTCCACAGGGAGCTGGGGGAGAAATATCCCCAAGAATTCTTATGTTAAGGAAGCAACAATCAATAACTTACTTCCGTTCTAGCTGCATCCGGGTTTTAACCATCCATATAGGATTCATTAGGGAATTTGTGACAAAAGCTGGAAGAAAAAACACACCAGAAAATGTCATCACTGAACACAGCCAATGCTGATTAAAGCTGTCTATTCCATCTGAAATCAGGCTTTCCATGGTTTCATAGCAAAAATGGACAGCAGGAAGCAGGACATTTCTGTATCGCACAGGAAGCTCCAGTCCCTAAAGTGTAGCTTCTATTGGCATGCTGGACCTCAAAGTCTCTCCAACTTCTGGAGCCCTGACTAGGGTTTCCAGCCTGTAGGTGGTGCTGTTGGTATTGCTGTCAATGTGATGCCCACGGTAAACATGAACCACGCTATAACTCAATTTATAAGCATCAGATCCAGAAATAATTTGTTTTTAAGGGAAGCTGCTGTCTTAATCCAAAAGGTTGCCTTTTATCAAACTTAAAATGAACTAAATCTCCATGTAACTGAATCCAAAGGCAGACATTTTAATAGCCACTAATGTTTCAGGAAAGTGAAGTTTTACCATCGATCTGTGTCCTACAAGAACCATTTGTTGGTGAGTCTCCCATCTCAACACGGCTCGTCACTTCGTAGTGACAGAGCGAAGCAGAGTCAGGCACAGCCAGTGACCCTCCTGTGACCTCGCCCTCCCCAGGCCCGGGCGAGGCTGAAACATGGCCGCAGGTTTGCTTTAGGTCCCAAGGGTTCTTCTAAGCGAATGCTGTCCAAGTTAAGCCTGATAACCAGTGTTTAGGTTACAGCCAACCCCTATCGGCCTCAAAGTGCAGGCTCCTCGGAGCTGCGCACTCAGCACACGCCTTTCTTGTTTAACATTGGTTCCGAGGGGTCCAGAGCAGCCTCTGTAACTCCTCAGAGGGGCTGCTGGTGCTTTATTTGAATAGAGAGGTGCACACACTTACAGGCTGGCAGAGGCGGAAATTCCTTATAGAATGCCAATTGAAGTTCTCTAGAATACCTTTCTAGTTAAACAGACATAAACATAAATCCGTGAGGCATGGCCCTCTCTCCGCAATCTACAAGTCCATGCTTTTGTGGCCAAGCATTTCCTGGGGGGAAACCCTGTTATAAGTTTCCTATAGTGAGCAGGATGACTCCCTCATGAGGCACGCTCTCTGGCCTGTTCCGGTCCCACTAAAAGCCCACCAGCCCCGACCCTCATCGTAGAGCCCAGGGATTAGCACAGAGTGCCAGCTGTGCACAGGGTGTGCTGGGCACCAGGAGTCATAAGAAAAGGAGCTTGAACTTTAGAAAGCAATGTCATGAAACAGACATGAAAAGCACATGAAAATTCCTTGGGAAGAAGCACTGAACCGAATTAGCATGCGTGGAACATGTACATGTTGAGGCAGAATAAAAAGCTTTAGTGGCCAAAGAGATAGGAACAGGCTACAAACTGATCTTAAACATGTTATTTTATCGGCTCTAACATAAAGCCGATAAACAAAAATGATTTCAGATGGAGAAAAGGCAGAGAGCTCATTTCTAATTCCTAGAAAAGGCTGCTGGGCACAACACATGCTTTCTCCACCCACGGGTAACGGTAACGTACCTGCAGAGCCAGCTGAGAAAATGTGCACAATGTTGCTGTTAGGCACGAAAATGCCATTGAACTGCTCTTTGGCTTTGGAGTAACATGCAAAGTACACAGCCCTGTCAGAACAAAGGGAGAACATGATAAAGACATCGGCACACACTGCCAATAGGATGTCCCTCCGCAACCTCTGAGACGTCAGGTAAATAATATGGGCAAGAAGTTACCACGTAACAAAAGCTCGGCCTCATCTGTGCTAAACCCAAACCTGCTACAGGCGCCTTCAGAAGGTCCTGCTCGCCCCCCAGAGAGTATACGGTGGAGGGAAGAGTCCAACATAACAGAGGAAAATGAGACTTTGGTAATATGCGTGCGAAGTCCATTTATATTCTTCATTCTGTTGGTGCCAATCCTTTGAGCACCAACATATACTGTAACATTTAAAATTTGTAGTATTTCTAAAATATACCACACTTGTCCTGCCTCACACCAAAATGAGCATGTGATTGGGGGAGGGGCAATGCTGCTGACCACACCCACTCACTTAGAGAAGATCCAGGGATGAGAGCAGACTCGTTTTCAACTCAGTACAATAACTAGAATCTCTTTCTCACCATGAACTAAAGACACACCAACAGTTCTCACTATTCCCATTTGTCAGGTTTGTTTAGGCAAATCCTGCACAGAAGAGACTGGCCACCTAGCAGTATGGCCCTTCCGTGGGAAAGGACTCAGGACATTACATTTGTATGAAGGGAGCCAGCTGAAAGTTCAATGCTTACCTTGATGGTGCAACTCCAACCAAATTTGGACCCAAGCCTCTAAAAAGTGACTTTGGTCCCTCCTTCTCCAAGATTGACCTGAATAATACAAAAAAGATCTAGATTAAAATCCTCAGGCAAGGCCTATGCAAAGCAAGTGTCAGCCTTCCGTTAGCGCCTTGCATAAAGAATAATAGGTTGTTGCACGGCCGACGTGGTTTGGTGGCTGAGTGTCCACCTATGAACCAAGAGGTCACAGTTTGATTCCCAGTCAGAGCACATGCGCGGGTGGCAGGCTTGACCCCAGTCAGGGTGTGCAGGAAGCAGCCGATCAATGATTCTCTCTCATCATTGATGTTCCTCTCTCTTCCCTTCCTCTCTGAAATCAATAAAAATATTAAAAAATTTAAAAAAGGTTAATAAATTGTTTACAAGACCCCAGGCTACTTTACGATTATATTACAACACAGAATCGGAAGGCTGAAGAACACAGCTGCAGTAACAGTGAAAATCTGCGCTTCGGCAGCATCAGTCTGACATGTTTGCAAGAAGCTTTTTCCTTGTTCACGCAGGAGCAAGACACTCCAGGTTTGTACGAGGAGACCCTGTAGGCACAACGAGCACTGGCGAAGGGGCTGACCCCGGGACAAGGCCCCACTATAACAAGGTCCCTGAGAAACACGTTCAGAGAGGTCTCTGGATGGGACTTCTTCTGGATTTACTCCTTATTTAGAGTAACCCCATCGTCTCGATGTTTACTTATTGTGGGCAAGCCCTAAACAGATGTAAGGAATAGAAAAGGCTAATAATTTCATGGGCTGGATGGAAAAGCCTCGTACCTCAAGTCCAAAGAGAATACTGTGCCTGCTTTTTCTTTTTAATGTTTTTCATTGTGGTAACATATATGTAACATAAATTTTTACCATTTTAACCATTTTAAAATGTACAGTTCAGGGGCATTAAGTGCATGCACACTGTTGTGCAACCATCGCCAGCATCTGCCTCTAGAACTTTTTCATTTTCTCAACTAAAATTCCATACCCACGGAACACGAACCCTCCATGCCACCCCTCCCCCAGCGCTGGGCACCCACCATTCTACTTCTGTCTCTCTGAACCCGAGTGCTCTAGGGCCTCATGGAATCACACAGTATTTGTTCTTTTGCGACTGGCACATTTCACTTAGCATAATGGCTCAAGGTTCACCCATGATGCAGTACGTGCCAGAATTTCCTTCTTTGTAAAAACTGAGTAACATTCCATTCTATAAATGGGCCACGTTTTGTTTATCCATTTATCTGTCAATCGACATTTGGGTTGCTTGCCACCTTTTGGCTACTGGGAAAATGCTGACATAAATGTCCAAATATCTATTCAAGTCTCTATATCCAGAGATGGAATTGCTGGATCATATGGTAATTCTAGGCTTAATTTTTTGAGAATTGGCCATACTATCAACCACAGCAGCTGCACCATTTTACATTCCTATCAACAACACACATGGGCTCCAACTTTTCCATATACTTGCCAACATGCTTTAAAAAATAACTGTTAAATATAGTTTCTGATCAACAGTGACTGACAATCCTAAAAGCATTAGAACATTCTTTAGAAGCATATTCCCCACTGCAACATAATTCTTTAAGTTAGTTAAGTTTCTTCTTCTTCTTTTTTTTTTAAAAAAATGTATTTTTATTGATTTCAGAGAGGAGAGGAGAGGAGAGGGAGAGAGAATCCTTTCCAGTTGCTTCCTGCACGGCTCCTACTGGGGATTGAGCCCCCAACCCTGGCATGTGTACTGACGGGGAATCGAACTGTGGCCTCCTGGTTCAGGTCAGTGCTCAACCACTGAGCCACTCCGACTGGGCAAATGTACTCTTTTCAATGGCTCGGTTTTCATGGTATCCAAGAGAATTTACATTGTTAAATTAGAGTCCTCTCTAATTCAATCTCCTTTTCTGAGAATTTACTTGGTAATTAGTACTTCCAATTTGACAGCATTCTAAGTTGGCCAAGCTCAGAAATAATCACATTGTTTTCAAAAGAGTTTATATACTGTTTTACCTTCATTATGACACTGAAGGTAAGATAAAAAGACATCTTTCACTTCATGGAAAAGATATTCCTATAAAACTAACAAAATGAATCCTGTCAATTCTAACTCTACCAACTTCAACTTTTCACACAGAGAAAAGGTTTCCAAAACGAACCTGAAATTTTTGGTGCAAAAGAGCTTAAGCTGATGTTTTAGTCCTTGGCATGCTAGTAACGTTCAAGTTTTCTCCATTTGTAGTTTTCGCTCCTGTTCTTTCCTTCCTCAGAGCAGTGTAATTTTCATGATCTAGATTCCTAGCCTTTCCTCTCCATGTTTTTTGATGTTTATAAAATAGTTCAATTGCTTGATGAGAAAGAATATTTATACCTTTAAGAGCTTTCTTAAAAAGCAGCAGGCTAGCAATTAGAAAAGAAAAAAAGAAATAAAAGGTATCTAGATTGGAAAGTAATCTGTCTCTTTTCACAAACATATTATATATAGAAATACTAAAGAATCCACTAACAATTACTATAATAAACTAGTTCAGCAAGGTTGTAGGATACAAGATCAATGTACACACACACAAAAAATGCCCAAACAATTGTATGTCTATACAGAAGCAATGAATAATCTAAGCATGGGAATAAACAGCTATTCCACTTACAGCAGCATCAAAAGAATGAAATACTTATCTATAGAGAGACAAAATAGACGGGTAGTTGCCAGGGGATGGCGGAGGAGGAATGGGGAATGACTGCTCATGGGTACGTGTTTCTTCCTGGTGTGATGAAATTGTTTAGAATGAAGATGTGGTGATGGTCATGTAACTCTAAATATACTAAAACCCACTGAACTGTATACTTTAGGAGGACAAATTGTTATGCTTCTGAATAATATCTCAATAAAGCTACTATACTTCAAAATATTAGGGAGACAATAGTTATATTTTCTAACCATAAAATATTTTCCTTGCTGGCAGGTAGAAACTCAGACCCTTTAAGTTAGGGGTGGGGAATGTCTGGCCCACGGGTGAAATCATTTGGTCTGGCCCTGCAAAGGCACTAGGGGTGAGATAATTAAATGTTTGACCCAATATAGCGGGCTAATTTTTAAGGTGGTAATTTTGTATGGCCCACGAATGTTGTTCTATCCAAATGGCCCTTGGCAGAAAAGGTTCCCCACCCCTGCTTTAAGTGATCCCAAGACACAGTTGTTTGTGTGGTCCAGAATAAAGCCTCTGGCCACCTACGTGTCACACAAAGGAACTCTGTTGGACGCACTAGACAACCAGGGAGGCCTATCTCACTACAGGACAGTAGATGGCAAGGTCAAAGCAATGTATTTAAAGTAAGACCTAGCCATAATAATGGAATGTTATTCGACAGTAACTACAAGGGAAAGAAGCCAGACACGAGGCCATAAACACACTGCATGACTTCATGTATATGCAAAGTCCAGAGGAGACACCCCTAGAGACAGGAGGTAGGTTAGTGGTTGATTGCCTAGCGCTGGGACCTGGGGTGGGGAATGGGGAGTGACTGCAATGGGTGAGGGCCTTCTTAGGGGAATGACATGTTTTAAAATCACATCGTTGTGACAGTTGCGCAAACTATGTGAGCATGCTAAAAACAGTCAACTGTCTGCTTTACATGGGTAAGTTGTATGTGAATTACATATTAGTAAGCTGTTTAAAAAACCCTGCAGGGAGAAAAAGAAAGAAAGGCTCACTAAAAAAGACAGATCAGCAGGAACAGAGTTTTAAACAAAATTTAGTTCTTGTGGTAAATCAATCATTTACAAAAGATAACTGAGAAAAGTGAAATATAGACTGCAGATGAGTTAAAAAAAAAGCAGTATATTAAGCCCTGGACGGTGTTGCTCAGTGGTTAGAGTGTTGGCCCGCACACCAAAGGGTCTCAGGTTCAATTCCCAGTCAAAGGCATATACCTGGGTTGCGGGTTCACTCGCTGACCCTGGTAGGGGTGCGTGCGAGGCAACCAGTCGATGTGTCTCTCTCACATTGATGTTTCTCTTTGTCTCTCTACCTGACACCTCCCTCCCCCCCTCCCAACAAACACACACACACACACACACACACACACACACACACACACACTCTCTCTCTCTCTCTCTCTCACTCTGAAAAAGCAACAGAAAAAATATCCTCACGTGAGGATTAACAATAACAGCAACAAAAAATAGTATATCAGTATTAAATTTCTTGAATTTGAAAACCGCTGTGGTTTTAAGATAATACCTTTATTCTTAGAAAATAAATGCGGAAGAATTAAGGGAAAAGGGGCACAATGTGAACCTATTTTCAAATGGTTCAGAAAAAATATGGATGTATACAGGACAAAATGCCAACACAAATGTGGCAATATGTTAAAAATCTGTGACTCAAGATTAAGAGTATATATAGCAAGTTACTGGTACCATTCCTATAACTTTTCTACAAGTTTGAAATTATTTCAGAAAAAACTTCTGTAATAAAAATAAGTTATAGGCAAGCCATAGGTTACAAAAATATTGAACTCATGATTATAGCCCAATGTTACGGGAACAAGGGCTGGGTAAAGGCAATTGTAGGTTCTGTAAATCAAACCCCCAAGTGAAGGTCATGGAGTTGCAGTGAGTTTTCACACTAGCCAAAAACAAGTCACTGGGCCCTTAGCAGAGGCATGAGAATTAGTTTTTTCAATTTTAAATACTTAACTTCTATCTTTCTTACCACAGGCCTGATTTAAAAAGCTCTGCTCTCTGAGCAAAATCTTTTCTTAAATAACACCTGCAAGTGACCTACACCTTCTAGCCTGTAAGACTGTCAAATGGTCAGAATACCCAAAATGTTTCAACTTTAGATTCTATCTGTGGTTCCCATTAATGAACACTGTGCAGCCAGCCCATGGGTCATTTAAACACGGTTCCGGGACTCTCTGGCTCCAGGAAGCCTGAGCCTCGCATCTATAATGCAGCAGGGAACACCAGTCCTCAAGTGACCAGGGCCTCTTCAGAACTGGGCAGGCTGTCGCCATAGTGACACATTAACAGTGGGCAAGAAGTCA